ATCGAATCCTATTAATTATAGAAGTCTCAGCTGAACATTCTGCTATGATGATAGCTGCTTAATATATCTCTTAAGTAAGGAAGATTCAGAATAGTTCCCTTAGAAATCTAGGCACTGTAAACAAATAGCAATAGCAGAATGAGAATGCATGCTCAGCATCCCTACGAGTAGCAACTCGGACTGCTCTAATATTGCGGAATAAAGTATTCAAGCATTGAAAGAAGAGCTTAGCAACAATACCCTTCAACATTCTTCATTATCTATACTAAGCATTATAATCAGGAATATGAATAAGAAATAATACTCTCTTAGTTATTAATATGAATATCTAAATGATACCGAAAACGCTTCTCAAGCAATAGAAAGATTAAGCTAGAATAAGCAATTCAATGATTTACTAGAATCTCCTATAAACAATGAACTCAAGAAATCTATAGAAAGATTTCCCTTTGATATTAGATAGAATAAAGAAATAATATAAATTGAATATCTTATCTATGAAATAGAACTAGAGAAGCTCTTCATCTGCATTTCCTTACAAAACATCAAAGCATGAAAAGATAAGAACCCTCGGATCAGCTCACTTTACAATCTATACCACAAATTAGCATGAATCTCTTGCACCTATTATAGCTGCAGAACGCATTTCTCGGAGAAGATGCAATACGAATAGTTCCCTATTAGAGAATCAGAACAAATCCTTCAAGCTGTTGAAGAACAGGAACTTCGCTTCAGAGAGATTCTTAATAAGCAATATCACAATGCATATATTAAGCTACTGAATAATTGTTTTATGCAATATGTAAATAAAAAGATGGAGTAGTAGCAGTACAAGATGATACTCTATATGATTTATATCAATAATAAAGTTTGCAACTAGCATTAATAAAGGAAAGATTAGGAATAATAATAATATAAGCAAAAGCAAGCTAAGAAGCTTGCTTAAGAAGCAGCGAAGCAAGCTTAGAAGAATAAGCAATTCTTAATAAACTTAAAAGAATAGGATTGCTTGTAAAGGAACTGTAGATAATTAGATCAGAATAGTTTCTATATAAAGCTTTCAGAACAGATTATGCTTATATCAAGTTTAACATATATATTCAAGAATACAAATACAGCGCACTATTGAATAGTAGCGCTTAAGGAAACTTTATATTCTCATATATCATTAATCAGGTACAACTACAATAAAGATGGAAGAGATGCTTATATACTCTCAGCACTGTAAAAGAACAACCTATTGCATACAATTAAGAAGTAATCAATAAGGAGACTGATTATCTATCTATCTTAATCGAAGAATATATAATCAGAGCTTTCTTTGATATTACGAATACAGCATAATATAAGCTGATTATAGAACTTTCATAGCTTAAGAAGCACAATCCTCGAATCGATTGGACTACTAGCTAGCTCTTATAGGAACAAGCTATATTCAGAGAAATAGTTGTAATTAGCAGCACAGGATTGAAGCTAGTTGTTGAAGAATACTTAGGAAAAGAAGCTTCAAACGACTTTACAGATACTTTCAAACCAGCAGGGCTGGCAGTTCAAGAAGAAGAATCTAGTGATAAGCGAATTCAAACAGTGCTAGGGCGCTAACAGATTAGCAAAACAATGAAAGCGAGACTCTTAGCAAGTTAGTCCGCTCCGAAGCGATAAGGAAAAGCTTCAGAATATGGATTGTAGAACTATACGGGAAAAACCTCGAAAACAAGCCCTCGAGCGCTCGATTCAGCTCGGAGCGAACGCTCAAAGCCTTCGAAAACGCTATCGGAAAAGAAGCATGCTTAACAATATCTACTATTCCTTCAGATAGCAAAAACAGTACAAGGATCAGAACTAATACTTGCGAACATATTACAAGAATATTATAAATTTAAGAAACTATTCCAGGAAGAATTGGATATAGGATTACTGGAATACAGCTCATACAATCACGAGATCCTGCTATAAGAAGGAAAACAGCCCAAGTTCTTTCTCATCTATAAACTAAACAAAGTACAATTAGAAGCACTTAAGGAGTACTTTGATAAGAATCTTAAAAAGGGATATATATAATCATTGCAATTATCAGCAGAATATCCTATTCTGTTTATATTCAAGAAGAATAGCAAGCTCAAGCTATGCATTAACTACAGATAATTCAATAATATTATAATTAAGAACTGATATCTATTATTATTTATCAAGAAATTATAAGATAGATTATAAGAAGTATAATAGTTTATAATTCTAAATCTAAAAGAAGCTTACAATCTAATTAGAGTAAAGAAAGAGAAAGAATGGAAAACTGCTTTCAGAATATGCTATAAACACTATAAATATTTAATTATGCTCTTCAGCTTAACAAACGCTCTAGCCTTATTCTAAGAAATGATTAATTACATTCTATACAAATACCTGAATCAGTTTATCATTGCTTATCTCAATAATATTCTTATCTACTCTCGAATACTTGAAGAATATAAGAAATATATGGAAACAGTATTGTAAATGCTTTAAGATGCAAAACTCTTTGTGAAATCTGCAAAGAGTTACTTTTACATACAAAAGATCAACTATCTCGGATTTACAATCAAGCTAGAATATATTAAGCTATAGAAAGATAAGATAGAAGCTATTAGAAATTAGCTAGTTTTCAGGAATATTAGGGATATTAGGTTTTTCCTCGGATATATTAACTTCTACAAGCAGTTCATTAAGAATTACAGCCGGATCGCATATCCTCTTACAAATCTTATCAAAAAAGAGCAGCTTTTTAAATAAATCTTCAAAGCATAAGAAGCTTTTAATGAAATTATCAAGTATATTATCTCAGAACTAATTCTATATAAAGCAGATCTCTATAAATCCTTTGAAGTTGAGACTAATGCATTAGAATATATACTCGAAGAATAACTTAGCTAGTAAAATAACTAAGAGCGTTTAAGAATTATAAGCAACTTCTTAAAGAAGTTGAATAGCTCGGAAATCAACTACAGAATCCCTGATCAGGAACTTATAGCAATAGTAAAAGCTTTCAAGAAGTAGCAATACTATCTTATTAGCGTATAATATTCAATTATAGTTTACTCGGATTATAAGAATCTAATTACATTCATAATAATCAAGATTTTAAATAAGCAACAAGTTAGATAAACAGAATTCCTCTTACAGTTCGATTTCAAGATTGTATACTGCAAAAGCTCAGAGAATGAACGAGCAGATGCTCTCAGCAGAAGATCAGACTATCAAGATACAGATTTCTCGAATATACAGAACATCTTTATCCAAGATAAATCAGAAAATCTCATCAATGTATACAGAGAATTGGATATTGCTTTCAGAATTGAACTCTCAGAAAAGAATCCAGAATCAATAATTCCAGATAAACAAGATAACTACATTAAGAATATATATAATACATTTATGCACAAATACTAGAGAATCAGAGCAATCTACGAATGTATCAAAAAATACTGAAATCCATCAGACCTTAGGAAAAGAATTAGAAACATTCTACAACAATGTAATAGCTGCAAGAAGAATAAAGCGGAAAAATACAAGCTTTATAAACTACTGCATTTCTTATCAATACTTACAACTATTTAGCAATCCATCAATCTAAACTTCATTATCAAGCTATTTCTCTTATAAGAACTCTTAATTAAGATGCAATATAATAGCATTCTAGTAATAGTTTGCAAACTAAGCAAGTATGCTTATTTTCTCTCCTATAAGGAAAGCAGTACAGCAGAAGAACTCGCATATGCATTCCTCAGAACAATCATCGCTAACTACAGCATGCTAGAAGAAGTAATTTCCAATAAAGATAGAAAATTCAACTCAAAGTTTTGAACTTTACTCATAAAATAGCTCGGAATATATTACAGAATATTCACAGCATTTCACCTGCAAATAGATAAATAAACAGAAAGAATAAATTAAGTTATTAAATAATATCTTTAATACTATATCAACTAGAAACAGAACAACTGAATTAATCTATTACTTCTTGCATAGTTTGCTTATAATAATGCAAACATAAGTATAATAAAGAAATCACCATTCTTCACACTCTACAAATACAATCCAACAGCTTACTACAAAGCACTATTAGAAGCAGATGCAGAAGCTGCAGACAAAAGGATTAAGAAGATTAGGAAAGTTCAGAAGAAACTCCAATCAGAATTATAATTTATTCAAGAACAAATGATACAATATGCAAACTCCAAGAGAATTGAGAAACCAATTCTATAGAAGAAAGATAAAGCTTACCTACTTCGAAAAAACATCAAAATAATCAAATCTAGCAATAAACTTAATTACAAAAAGTTGGAATCATTCAAAATCTTATAACAAATCTCTCTGATTAACTACGAGTTAGCATTATCTCATAGAATAAGAATATACTCAGTTTTCCACATTTCACTACTGGAACTAGCAGCACAGGAAATATTAACAGATAATACAGCAGAAGTAGAAAATAATAAATCAGAGTATGAGGTAGAAAGAATTCTCAAGTACAGAAGCATAGATAATACAAGGGAATATCTTATCAAGTGAAAAGGTTACTCAGCAAGCGAAAATTCATAGGAATTACAGAAGAATATTGAGAATGCTCAAGAAAGAATAGCTGAGTATTGGAAAAGAAAGAAAACCAGTATCTAAGATAATTGCTCCGCTCCAAACCGAAACCCAGAAGCTTCAGAAACCTTACTCTCCAGAAAGCTCAACCAATCTATCACAGAATCTCCCAAATCCACAGAATTCCAATCGAAACCTTCAGAAAAAGGATCCTCAGCTATAACAGCAGATTCCTCTGCTACTACAGCCTGCACTTCAGCAGCAATACGCACCCTCTCAGCCTCAGCTTTCTCAGCCTTTATACAATTCAATTCCTTCATGCAAGTAATACTACAATGCAGAGCACATTTCATCTTCTCAGATCACATCCGCTTCTGTTAGCGCAAACGAAGAAGCTCAGTCTCCCTCTTCTCAATCTCATTCTCCAACTTTCAATGTTGAATAGCAATATTGCAAAGCTCCTCAGGGGAAAAGCTTATAATATTGCATTTGGAGCAGCTTAGTTGAATGTATTCGATGCAACGAGAAGAGTCTCCGGGAAATACCTTGCAGAACCCGAAATTACAATTCTTGCAATAGGAATAGATGGGCATCTCGATAAAATTTTCCAAAAGATGAGAAACCAAGAAATCTCGATCTCAGATACTTTTTGGAACGGGAGAAGATTTGCAAATACGGGATTTATTAATTCTATTCAATATCTCAATCAGGAAAGCAAGATCATGCATACGAAGAACTTATTAGAATATTTACAGAAGATTGTTAAGAATAACAACTGATAGGAGGGAGATAATATTATAACTTATCCAACATATAGATTATAGAATAGGCTCTACCAACTAAGAAATCAGATATTACAATCCAATGTTGAATACTAATCAGGATTATATAATCCGGATTAGGATTGCTAGTGCAACTATGTTAGCTATGAATATAATTAACATATTCGAAGAAATGATTATGAGGAATCATAATATAGTTAGAATAATCAGAACTAAAGAGCTGAATATATAAGAATACGTTCATTACCATTAGATGGATCCAATATATAGCTCTTCAGTTATCAATCTAAGTATCAGATTACTCTTTACTCTGATAGCTCCAAAGGCAGTGAATACTTGCATTGCTTACTGAGACTTGTACGGTTCCGTATTCAAGGACTTGATACTTCGACATCGCTCTTGTTAGCATAAACCCCTTTGTATACTTAGGAATCTTCGGATTGCTGCAGTGCTCATTACAAATAGCTTTATTAGAAGATGAGTAATTGCAAGAGGGATTTGCAAAGATATAAAGTTAAGGGATTGAGAAGGTATTGATTAAGAAAGAAAGGTAGAGAAGAATGCAGCTTTAGCTAGAGAATCTATTGAAAAAGGTAATATTATGTAAGCAGAGCAGTTAATAATTTGCTCTAATATTAGTATATAGGTTTGGAGCAGCATTAATAAGAAAGAAAAAGAGTATATATATGTTCAAGAAAGATAGTTGTGAAGAGATTGAAGAAGGAAGAAGAATAGCTAGCTGCAAGTATGAATAGAATAGCTAATTTATCTTGTTTAGCAACTATTCAAATAATTTACTGCTTTTCATTTGTTACAAAGCAAACAGCTTTATTCTTAGCTAGATAGAAGCTATTTAGCAATAAACTGAATAGAAAGCGTAGTAACTCAGTTGAATATATTTATTACTCATTGCTATCTTATCAATCTTCAGCAAACTATTTAATAATCTCTCTCTCAGTTTACCTTGCTTTTTAATTCATTCTTTATATAACAACTTCTCCTTCTGTTAACCTTTCCTTGTTCAGCTCTGCAATATATTCAAGATATCTCGAATTATTACTAATGCTGTTTTCTCTTTGCAGATAAATACTGCTTTTCAAGAAGTTAATAAGATTTGAATCTAGTTTTCTTCTTCAATTCCTTCTTCTTAGAGCAGCAACTATTACTAGCTTAAGAATATCTATATTAACTTCCTTGATATTACAGATTTCAATATTATTAAGAAAGATCTTAGCTTAATATATGCTTTTTGAAATATTTAAAGCGATATTATATTTTGAAATAACTTACTGCTAAGCTCTAGCTTTGCTGCTTATTTTATAAGACTGAATAATAAGAATTCTATTAAACTAAATCCTATTATAATATATAAAGCTGATTAAAAGCTCTTCAGCAAATATCTTATTTGCATCTTTTCCTAATCTAAGCAAGTAAATTCCCTTCTTATTCAATTCTATAATCAGCATAATCTAGTTCCTTGCAATTACTGCTCTTATCAGTATACTACTGCTTATATATTTGTATAAGAGCAGCAGATTAATATTAACTAGCTTTTCCTAGAATACATCTCAATAAAGAGCTTTTTCAATAAAAAGTGCAGTAATTGCATTTATTATGCAGAATCTGAGTATAACTATATTAAAGACTTTTCTTGTATCAAAAAGCGCAGTATACAAGTAAGATTTCCATTCTGATATTCTTGATTAGATTTAAGTATATACTAATCATTATTCTTCTTGCAGTATCAGCATTTGTTTTACTAATTCAGCTTTCAATATATAATCAAAGTAGATTCTTAAATTAATTCTAATGCTAATATTAAATATATTATTATAGCTTAATACAAGCTTATGCAGAATAAAGATATTGCATATAATTAGATTAAATAGATTTCTCTTATACTAAGAAAATAATATTTATAGAATATTATAAGTCTTATAATCAACTATGATTACAATGCTTAAGAAGATTACTGCTAACTTTATCTGTATAGATTAGCAAGAAGAGTACTGCTTCTTCTGCTTCTAAGAAGGAAGTATCTGAGTCTGAATAAGCAGCTCTATAATCTGTATCTTGCAGCAAGAATAAAAGCAAGAGCAAGGCTGTAGTAGAATCTTGTATTAAAAAACAAGCTAAATTCGTTTAATCTCAAGATTCTTTCTTTGTTTTTAATAACGATTCTTCAGCAAATAATACAGATAATATAAATCTGAATAGAATAAGAAAAGAGCTATTGGATAACATTTATAGGTATTCCGGTAATAAGAATAATATATAAAAGTAAGGGATTTCCATAGATTGCAGTATTTCTTTAGCGCTCTGCATTTTTCATATATTATATTCCAATATACTGCAATTTTTGAATAATGAAAATAGCTTTAGAGCTGATTAATATGCTCTATACTGAATACTTTGAAATTTTTAAGTGGATTTACAATATTCTGTAGCGAGTAATAGCAAACAATACTTCATTCCTTCTCTCCTAGCAAAATATACGAGATGGAATAGAAAAGATGAAAAGAAAATGTATTTTGCGAATAAAAAGAAATATAAACAGAAAGAAATCAATCTTCTCTACAAGCTAGGAATACTGATTTAGTTGAAATTGATATAAATATTCCACTTCTATCTACTTTCTTCTATTCTTGCTTCTTCTTCTCTGCTGCTTATATGAAATATTTATTATTACTAATTCCATTTTCATTCTCAATATTATCATTCGCTTTAATTGCTAGATTAATAATTTCTGAATCAGAACTAATTTAGCTAGATATAGAGTTGTACTCAATAATATCTGGAATTCAGAATGTAGCATTGTTGCTTAAATCTGCTTTCTGAACTTCGAAGATATTATTATCTGATTCCTCTTATTAGAAAGTTCTTATCGAATCCAGCTTTTCTGCTAATAATTAGTTAGATTGAAGCTTAATATCTTCTTTCTAGAGCATAAGCATCTCAGATTTCCAAATACTATTCATATTTCATACAAACTTTTTGAGATTAGTAGCTAAATATATACTTTTTAGCAGAACTCCATCTATAATCTTAAGCTTATAAATATATTTATTTAGAACTTAAGCAATCAAATATAAACTCTTTTATTTATAAGAGATCTTAGCATTGCATGAATAGCTTATTTTCCAAATGTAATTATAAATAAGCATAAGATTTCCAATATTCAATTGAGATTTTTATATTAGATTCTGTATTTAACTTTTAGCTGCAATCTTTTAATAATATGCCTAAACAGCTTCAATTGCTTTCTGCATATTATCTTCCTTAGCTATAATTATTCTTAATCGCATTTCAAATACTTTCTAAGAGAATTGGTCTTCAGTTCATATAAGAACTCTTTATATCAGGATTTTAGTTTCAATTAGAATAAGCAGCTTCTAACCAAAAATCAAATAGAAGAAGCTATATCCATGCAACTAGCGAATTGTAATCCTTTCAGCAAAGAGTACAAATCTCAAATACTGCTTCTATCTTCAGAATTGAGTATTAGCTAGCTTAGCAAGAGCATTTACTAAGAAAAGATAATTAGCTTCTACTTATTCTTAAGCATAAGAATTGTAACTAAAGATCTGAATAAGCAGAATTCCAAGAGCTCTGATAATCTTAGCTATTTCAGCCTTGTTTTCTAATTCTCTGTTAATAGTAATTTTGAGAAGGCATTTGAATACAAGAATAATCTTCTCCAAAATAAACTTCCTCATTTCTACAGCTGTAGCTTTCTTAAAAGATCTTGCAAGCATATAGCTAATCAGATCACAGCAAGCTTCTGCAAGATATCTATAACTGCTATTCTCAGCTATGTATTGAATATTAATACTGATTCTTATAAAGAATTAACTTGAAAGAATCGGAATTACTTCTTTCTTTCACATCTTTGAATCGAACTTTGCATACTTCTTGCAATTCGAGATAATATTAGCTATATCTATTCAGAGATCTTTCCAATAATAGAATTGCTTGATATAAGCTATTATAAAATCTCAGCCTCAATATTCAAATTTAGCATAATATTCTCTAATAATTTAGCAATAAAGATTAGAATTATCTATTACTTATTAGCATAGGAGTTTCGCATCAGTGCAGTATTACAGAGCTTGATCAAGTACTTGATGCTTTAATGCTTCTACTATAAAGTTCTTACAATCTTGTAATGAGCACTGCAGCAATCCGAAGATTCCTAAGTACACGAAGGGGTTTATGCTAACAAGAGCAGTGTCAAAGTGTCAAGTTCTTAATATGGAACTGTACAAGTTCTGGTGAGTGATGCAAGTGTTCACTGCCTTTGGGGCTACTCAGTATAGAAGACTGAATACTTAGATTGACAACTGAAGAGCTATGTACAATGATCTATCTAGTTGGTAATGAACGTGTTCTTATATATTCAGCTCTTCATCGTGTTAGTAGTGTTGGTCTTGTTGGATCATCTGGATCACCTGGGTGATCCAACTGATCCGGATCACCATGGATCAGCCACTGATCCATCCTGATCCTGTAACCCTAACCCTTGCTTATGTAATCCTGTGTGGTTGTCCGATGTTGGGTCATGACACCTGGTTCCTTGTTGGCGGGGCCTGTTTCGTAACCTGCATGTTGAATGGGTCATAACAAATCTCTTTTGAAGAGTTTTAATAGAATGATTCTATAGTATAAGAACTCTGCATATTATTTCAACTATTCTATTTACTAAAGAATTGAATTTAGCAGTAATACTAGATTAGCTCTATCTAAGTTCATACTATTAAGCTAAGCATTATACTAGTTTTTAATATTACTATCTTTATCTTCCTTAAATAGCATTAAATATAGAAATCGAGAAAGAGTATTAGCTATAGAATTCT